TCGTATAATGGGATAGCTTCTGTGCTGCTTCTGTCGTCCACCACTCCATCCATGGTTTGGAAAGTGTTCTCCTGGCATCCCAGCTGAAATAGAGGTGCTTATTTTCTGAAGTATGAGAACTATGTGGTCAGAGCTGTAGCACAAGCCTGATTTGTTAGAATAATGTGATGGTTGTAGTCTTTCTGCTCAATTAACTAGAAGACGTTCCTTATAGTCTTCAGGTTAATGCTTATACAGAATTTCAAGGACAGAGAAGCAGAATTCAGTTCCTCGTAAATTGAAGTATATGTGGTTTTGAAGTATTCAAAGGCAATTTGAGAAATTGTCTTTAAAATGTTAATGCTTTTTTTTGTCATAAAAGACCCGACTTTTAGTTTAATTCCATGAGATTTTGCTACAAAGTTTCAATTAGTTTTTAATGTAGCAGTTAAACATAAGAACTTAAATTAGAATTTGTGGTTCTGTTAAAGCTTTTTACCTTATGAGGTTTTTTTTCATCCATCCATGAAACTTGTCAGACATTTTATTTCTTAGGAAAGCTAGGACGATTTGGAAAAGTCATCAACATTAACAAATGTCGACTTAACTGAATCATGCTATGGTACAGCAACATCAAAATATTGACTTACTACTCCACACATAACTGATGTATAGACTGTTTCAGAGTAGTCATACTTTACTTACAAATTTATATGGCAGCTGAAATATAGTGGGTTTTCTCTTTCATTAATAATGGTGAACAGCCATGGAGTTTAGTTGGGCAATTTTTGTTATGAAACTCCTAGTCTGGGACTTGTAAGAATTGTTGTTTGCATTCCTGTAGTTCAGAAATTGAAAGTGCTTATGGAGCCAGGATATTGTTGATAAATCCCCTGCAGGTGTTTTAAATTCAAGTTCCCTGCTGCAGCTCAGCAGGTGAAGCCTAGGCTTATAGTAGAGCATGTGTTAAGGGAGCATTTGTGTTTATCCACCTGTTAGGGTGAGTTGTCTCTGTTGTGCAGGTGTTAAATGGAAAAATAAGCTTGAGGTCTGGGCAGAGGAGAGGAATGGGTCCAAGGCAGGGAAAAGCTTTGGGAACTTGTGAGGCTGGGATGTAATACAGGGTTAGAAATGGCCAAAATGACTTGAGCAGGCCAACTATGAGTAAGTGCTTTTCCAGTAACTGCTGGTGAAGTGTAAATCTGATACTTTTGCTGTAACTGTTTAGTAGTGAGATTGGTGGTTTGCATCAAGCTATTATGGATTTCAAAATTTTTAAATACAGGTTTATTTTTAAAAAATTACAATTTCTGTTAGACAGTTTTTGGAAATTGCAACAGAATCTGGGTTGGTAGCTTGTAGCATATTCCTAAGAAAGCAAATTAAGACTCTAAGTGTCAGAAAAACTATTTGCAGCTATCTTTTCTATTATGGGTTGGGTCAGAAGCATATGGATGCAGGTGTATGCCTCTTCCCAGTGTTGTGAGTCCATGAATAGCCTGGTCCATACAAAATAAACATAAAAATTATCCATTGTTAATATCTATAAGAGTTTTCCCTCTGTGAAAGCTACAGCAAGAAATAATTTTCAGTATTTTATATACATGGAGCCTTTTATATAAAGGCTCACATCCATGGGTGAGCCTTTATGCTTCCCATTCTTATTTTGCTTCAAGATAATGGTGTTTCTCAGTACCTTTCATGTACCATTTTTTTCCTGATAACTAAAAGGGTGCTTACTGTGATTTCAGGATTTTTTGTTTGGGTTTCCTGTGTTTATTTTGAAACATTATTGACTGTGTAATGAAATGAGCTAATGGAACTGTACTGAAATAAAATATCTTTAGGCATGAAAAAGTCCTGATCTGGTATTCACAGATGGGGAATACCACCCTTGTTACTTTCAGTGTATTTGCATGCTTCAGATGTCAAGATAAAAGTCAGTTCAACCATGATGTGTATTTAAGTAGGTTTGGCAGGAAGCATGCTTAGAATACATAATTTTAGTTGAGCACTGATGCTCTAAATAATACAATGAAAGATATTTCTTATTAATTTCCAATGAAACCTGCTTTCTTGAACCAGGTGCCAGCATATGGCTTTTATTTTTATCCGTTTGTAGAATGTAGTGGGAGCTCTGATGATTGCTGTTTAATTCTGGCTGCAGATTAGTGCAGATATGCAAAATCAGAAGAAAGGTACATTTCTAGTTGCTTGCAGAAAAGGGGAAATTCTCTGTCAAAGGAGTAGGGAAGTTGTTTGTAAATCAGTGTTACTTGCTGAAACTGGGAGGGGGGAACCCTCTGTCTACATTAGTGGCACTTATTTGTGCTACCTTATCCTGGTAAATGGAGCAAAGTGGCTTTTATTTGTCTTGACTATCTGAACAAGCAAAAAAAGTCAAAAATAGATATCTGCAATTCTTGAAAACAGAAAATCTTTGAAATGCCATTTGTGTGAGCTCAGACTTTCATCTCTGAATTTCAAGATTTATATGCAGTTTGATGGAGTGGATTAATGGGTCTGCCTTTTTTGGCTTTCAGTAGGAGCTCTTGGTGCTATTCAGTGTAATTTTCTTGTTTGGTGAGAAATGAGTAAACTAAATTTATTATTGTGCTATTAACGTTTTGGAAGTAGTGGTGATGAGCAATTTTCTTACCTTTACCCTGCTAATTTCATTTCACCTGCATTTGCTTTATTTTAAATGTCCCAGCTTGATTTTTGCTGTGCTGCATGTTCTCCAAGTAAGAGCAGTGGTGTTGCCCTACAAATATCACAGCTCTCTTGCAGCTCAGGGGCATATAAATAGAAAGACCTGAATGATTGTGAATTTTTGTGCTGATTTTTGCTTCTTACCTTCGAATGTAAAGCAGTACAGAATCCATCATGTCCCCGTTTTCTTGGATCTCACTTGGAGCAGCAGACTATTTGAGCCTGTAGCAAAGATAATTTGTTCTTGAGCTGCTCAGTTGTTAAAAAGCTGTTGTCTAAGCCTCACTGAGACCTACCATATATAAACTCTCACAAAGTCTTCCAACTGAACAGTTTTTCCACATCTTAGTTGTTCATTTTAGCCCCATTTTTCTTCACTTGGTCGGTATTAGCAATTCTTAAGCAAAATAGAGCAGGGCAAGATCTGAATTTTGAGCCATTTAGTCTGCAATATAAAAATCTACCTAAGAAAGTGATATAATATATGTGAGAAATACCAATCACTTGTTTTTAAAATTTTAAAAGTTCAATAGTAATAAAATGGTTATAAAAATAGTAATACAATTAGAGTAATAATAATTTGGATAAATTGAATTAGGACAATATGAGACAATAAAGACAAAGAGTTACAGACATCCAGGTACCTTTTTCTGGGCAGCACAGCCCGAACCGAGGATTAACCCTTAAAAACTACAGCCTGTTGCATATTCACGCATGGTGCATAAATTCCATTCAAACACAAGGTTCTATATGGTCTGTGTCAACTTCTTCCTCTTAATCCTTAGAAAACCTTTGAGGTGAAAAAAGTTTATTTCTTCTGATAAGAGGGCGATTAATTCTTTTCCTCTGAAAGATTTAGGTGTTCTAGGGCTGCTATCTGGTGCGAGTGCCTCATTCCTTTCTTTAAAAAAATCCAAATAACATAGTTCTTATTTTAACTACAAAAGTTACCCTTTAACTACCAGACTACATTTATCATATTATTATAATGTTAATACAGCGCTACTGTACTAATCAAAACATCAATACTGATCAATACATCAAAATACATATGGTAAATATTTGCAGAGAGCTATAATATGCACTTTTTGCTATATATTAGTGCCAAAAGGCTATAACACCAGATTGTAGGAACCCAGGACAGCCACGTCCCCTACCATGGGGCTCAGAACCCCTGGCATGGAGCTTAGAAACCACACCTGTGGTTTTGATTATGACCTGTGGAGAAAATTACTAACCTTATATGAAGATCAGCAAGCCACAACAGTTAGGCAGACTATTAGTGAAGCTATCACAGGGTGGAAAAGTAGATTTTGGGGTTTCTGGTATGGGGGTTCAGGAGGCAAGATGGAGGGAACTGGGTGAGTCCAGCCTTTCTCCTTCTTCTTGTCCTCCATCTTCTGCTGTGATGGTGGCACTTATAGATTGGTTCAGAGTAGAAGCTCACTGTCTAACATAGGTGATAGGTATTGGGAAGTTACTGTAAATATCATATATGTAGTTTTTAGTATAAAGATGTAACACTGCCCCAGAGGCAGGCAGTAGTGTTGTGATTATAGTGCAAAAGTTCTATTGCCATTACATTATAAAGGTTCCATACTGCTAGAGTTTCATACCTCCTTGGTGGTTCTTGTAGGCAACTCCTCTAGGCACTGGCTCTTCCTTGTCCTCACAGTACCCAACTGACTCCAGTTCCCCTCAACCACCCAATCCACTCTTTTATAACACTCTTCTTATTGGCTACAGCTGTGGCCTGTTAAAATCAGGCCTGCTCCTCATCTTTAATAATTAACCCAGCTGCATATCTTTAGGGGTGAGATTACCTTCTTTGTTACCTTTATTTACTTATATTCTAGCCCCCTACACAGTGTACCTAGAACTGTCCTGCAGGACAGATCTTGGTAGGGTAGGAGAAAGTTTTCTTATGGATAAGACATGATAAACTACCTTGAGACTGAGAACTGAAGCACTCTAGCTCATTCTTCAAGTGCTTGGGCTGGGAAAAGAGACTTTTAACAATTTTGGGGTTGCAGTGACCCAGAAAGGCCTGAGACAAGATAGTTTTTGTGTGCCACTTATTGGGGTTAAATAGTTTCTGAGTTGGTTTGAAAGAAGTAAGTTAGTCACTATTATAACTTAGAGAGTCTTTTGTTTCTTTTCCCCTAAATGATGTGTATTACCAGACACTTGGAGTATGCTTAAACTCATGAATGAAAACTTAAGATGACGCGCTCATAGACACCGTGTATTTACTTTGCTGAAAGAGTAGCGAGCCGCAGTTGTTAACGAGAGGTGTTGTTGTTGCAGCAGAGCCTGGCAGTGTGAAGGATGGAGGCAGAGGAGAGCCCAGCGCAGCCCCCGAGCGAGGCGCCGGGGCCGGGCGGTGCCGGCTGGGACCTCACGGACAGCACCCGGCTGCAGCACTTCCTGTGCTTCGGCTCCGAGGGCAGCGCCTACCACGTCAAGGAGCACAAGCTGGGCTTTGAGAACGCTGAAGCTTTGCTAAGGCTCATTGAAGAGGGCAGAGGCTGCGAAGTTGTGGAAGAAATCAAAGCGTTTAGTCAAGAGGGCAGAGCGGCAAAACAGGAGCCCCTGCTCTTTGCCCTCGCCGTTTGCTCGCAGTGCTCTGATGCCAAAACAAAACAAGCGGCGTTTAAAGCTGTCCCCGAGGTGTGTTGCGTACCAACCCATCTCTTTACTTTCATCCAGTTTAAAAAAGATCTGAAGGAGGGCATGAAATGTGGCATGTGGGGCCGTGCTCTGAGGAAAGCTGTTGCAGATTGGTACAATGGAAAGAATGGCATGGCTCTTGCTTTAGCAGTTACAAAATATAAGCAAAGAAGTGGTTGGTCTCATAAAGATCTTCTGAGGTTGTCCCACCTAAAACCTGCCAGTGAAGGTAATAAATTTTTATTTACCTGAAAATACTGTGTTTTAAACCTTTTATATTTACTGTGGAAGTATTTTGGAAACCCGAATTCCATTGTAGATGAATTCTTAGTGAGGATATCCTGTAAATTGCATCTTAAAAATGTGGGTAATCATATAAAAAACCAGACCTTCAAGGTAAACAGGGTTTGTTCCTTCTTTTCTTCTATGTGCCAAGAGAAGACAAAATAACACAACTCCCTCATTTTGTTCCTATTTGCTTACAAATGATGAAATAACACTTTTTTGTTATGTGGGAACATCTGTTGAGTTCAAATCTTAAAATAATAGAACGGTTTGGGTTGGGAGGGACCATAAAGAGGATCCAGTTCCAGCCCTCCTGCCATGGGCAGGGACATCTTCTACCAGCCCAGGCTGCTCAGAGCTCCATCCAGCCTGGCCTTGAACACTTCCAGGGATGGGGCAGCCACAGCATCTCTGGGCAATCTAGCAAATACATAAAGCTCCTTACTTCAAGGAGATGAATACAGTAATTAAAAGTACTGCTCTGAATTGTGTGTGGCTGACCTTTTCAGTAGGTGTTTGGCAGGTCTGAGAGTGAAACCTGCTAATTGATTTGCATGCTAGAATGATAAATGCCAGTATACAGATGGTAATCCTGCTTGAGAAATGGTTTTCTTTTCCATCAGGAATTGCTATAGTCACTAAGTATATTACCAAGGGGTGGAAAGATGTCCAAGAAGCTTATAAAGAAAAAGCAGTTTCTGCTGAGACTGAAAAACTCTTGAAGTATCTGGAAGCTGTGGAGAAAGTCAAACGCACAAAAGATGAATTGGAAGTTATTCATTTGATAGAGGAGTATGGTCTGGTTAGAGAGCACCTCCTGACAAACCATCTGAAATCTAAAGAGGTAGGTGACTTCCTTAGTCAAATTCTCCATAGAAGTATGAATTCTCTACAGTGAGTAATGCTGTTCAGAGTCTTAAATCTAGATTTCTTTTCAAAATAGCCCTTACACTGTTTTTCAAGTTGTTACCCAAATAGTTAATTTTAAAACAATTAAGACCTTAATATAATTTGTACATTTATTTTAAAATAAACTTATTCAATGTACAGCTAACAGTTCTTTTACTTTGAGACTCTCATCTTTCTGTGTTTCTCTTCTCTTTCATCATAGGTTTGGAAGGCATTACTCAAGGAAATGCCTATTTCTGTGTTGTTGAGAAATTTAGGAAAGCTGGCAGCAAATTCAGTGCTTGAACCACGAGGTTCAGAAGTGGCAATAGTATGTGAAAAACTGAGAAATGAGAAACTGCTAAAAAAGGTGAGAACTTCATAATCAGTGCCAGCCCTTGTGGATTTTAATTTTTAATGTTTAGTTATGTTAGTGTATTCTATTTAAAAACTGCAGTTTAATGCCTGCAACTTTATTTTAAAACTTCTGTTTATAATTTCTCATTTGATTACTCACCTGCTTTCTGAAACATTCTGATAAAATAAGTGTACTGGCAGATATTGGATCTTTTCTTAAACGAGGGCTGTGGCAAGCTTTGCTAGTTGGGTTCATCAATTTCTTCTGAGTCTTATAATTTTTAAGTGAGTTAAGAAAATAGCATAGCAGCTGAGGGAAAAAGTAAGATGGGTAAGGAGACTTTCCTGTTTTCTGATTGCTTTATTGTCCATCAAAGTGGAAGGAAAGGAAGAGGGGAAAGAGAGTTCTCCAAAGACAGAATAACATTTTCAGGGATTTAGTCAAAGGTAGGGAGGATTAGTGTCTTGAGCAGCAGTTTTGTGAGCTGGGAAGATTAAAATCAGAACAATTAAGTTCTTCAGCACCAGAGCTGAATTTAGCACAACAACAGAAGTCCTTTTTCCTCCATCCTATTGCAATTCCTTTTCTCTGGTTCCTTTCTGGAGAAGGGAGAGGCAAGATTATGGTGTAATACCTTGATGGAAGATAGGCAATGCACAAGCATTCAGGTTCACTGAGTTTTGATGCTGGCAGTGATTAAAGACTGAAACACCCCTTTTGGATAAAGATAACAAAATATTGATATAGTTATATAAGTTAAGTTTATATATGGAAAGCAAAAAAAAAAATGTTTGGAGTGTTTTATAGCGTAAGAAAAATGAATGCTATGTTCCAAAAATTATTTATTGTCCAGTGTTACTGTATCTTGTATAAAGCTAGTTCTAAGTTGGTTCTTTTCCTTGCTCAGCTCTTTTCTCTTCAGCTGGGCAGGGACTTTCTTTTACTGTAAGCCTGTGATGGAAAATAGCACTGGACAATCATAGAGCTGCAAAATTTTACCAGAATTCTGGTGATGGCATCCCATTTGGTGTTAATTAGAGGATTCTTGAGAGGGAGTGGGGTCCATTATGAGTAACCCACAAGTATCAGTTCATCCAACACCTGTGTCAAGACTGCAGGAACTCTTTAGGTTTAACAAATTTCAAGTAACCATATACTAAACCTGAGTTTTTTTGTAGTAGGAACTTATTTTCATTTATTTTTAGGTTGTTACTTTTTTTAAGGAGGTTAAATTTTCATGTGCTTATTTTTGATTTCTACCTGTAGGGTAGAATACATCCCTTCCATATTTTGGTTGCATTAGAAACCTATAAAGCTGGACATGGAAACAGAGGGAAGCTTTGGTGGCGTCCTGATGAAGACATTTTAGAAGCTTTAGATGCCTCATTTTACAAAGCTTTCAAGGTAATAATAGTTCTTCAATTTACTAGGCTTTCTAAGAGTTCTGTGTTTTCTGAAAGTTTATCAAGAACAGTTCCTGGGGTAGGTAACAATTCTGAAACTTTGGCAACAGCACCATCCTGATGTTACCCAGAAAGAGGAAAAATGCCCTCTTTAGGAGTGAAAGCAGAAGAAGAAATGAATATCTAAATTATGTGTACCTATTATAATTTTGTCTTTTGTTCTTTCAGACAGTGGAACCAACAGGAAAGCGCATTGTAATTGCAGTTGATGTTAGTGCATCTATGACACAAAAGGTTTTGGGCAGTGTGCTCAATGCCAGCACAGTTGCAGCTGTAATGTGTATGGTGAGGCTTTCAATTTCTTTTCTTTATAACTGTTTTCAGCTTGAATTGCTTTGTTGATAGAAAGGTGCTCTAAAGCTGGTTAGAAATCAAGAGGAAACTCACATATAATATTTTTTGGGTGCAGAAGGTGTGACCTTGTGCCTCATTGCTGAAAGCTCCTAGCAACCATATTCAGAAACATCAGTTTGAAGAAGTTGGTTTCTGTTGTAAATCAAAGTGGTCAGGGCAGCTTTTTCACTTATCTTAGCTATAATAAAATGGCATACTGTAAGTAAAAAATGGTAACTTTATCTTACACATTTAAATTTTTCAGAAGCATTCATAGAAATATACAGATTAGATTAAGAAATATTGGGATAATTCTTATGTCTGTTTGAGTTGTCAATGTGGCCTTTACTCACAATCACTTCCCCCTCAGTTTAGTATTCTAAAGCTTCTTGTGTTGTGTTCTTTTATTGCAGAGGAATTGAACTTTTGTTGGCCCTTAAAAATGGTCAAGGTTTTATGTCAGAGAGGAGGGAAGAAAATGGAAGTATCTTTAGTGACTAATTAGAGCAGTTGTTCAGCTCTTTTTGCAGTGTTTATTTGCAGTAATATTACAGAATATTTAAAGTGTACAGTGAACCATTACTGTTTATGAGCAGCCATGATGACTTAAATACAAAAGCATTTGTCATGCTGTGTGTTGGTAGGGAATGGCTCAGTTCAGACAATAAAAAATATAAATAAAAAATAAAAGTTCAGAGTAATGTAACTGAATTATTTTCACTCCTTTCTTCCTCTTTCTCAGGTTGCAGCACGGACTGAGAAGGATTCCCAAATTGTTGCCTTTTCACATGACATGGTCCCGTGTCCAGTGACGGCTGACATGACCTTACCTCAAGTTTTAGTGAAAATGTATGAAGTATGTAAAAAAAAAAAGTCTCAGCAGTTACATTGTATTTTCTTTGTAATCAATCCTACTACCTTGTTTAATCTGTGTAGCTCTAGTACAAGATTGGAATTTTTCAGTGCATTTTATTTAGAGAAAGCCCAGCAAACGTCATTATTGCATTTGCTGGATATTAAACATTGCAATTTAGAATGTCAGTGCTATGTCACAATGAGTTAGCTTGAAAAGAATGTTTTAAAAAATTCAAACAAAAAAAAAAGTCCTGGACAAACTGAGATAAAATGAACAAGTTTAACAAAAAAGCCTCTTTGTGTAGTAACACATGGTAAAACACGAAGCTTACATCAAAAGTAATTTTTCCATGGTTTGTTAATTTCTGTATTAATGTGTTCCATGTATATTTATTTTTTTTCCCAATAAGATTCCAGTGGGTACCACTGATTGTTCTCTTCCAATGATATGGGCTCAAAAAACTCAGACAGCTGCTGATGTCTTCATTGTATTTACTGATAACGAGACCTTTGCTGGGAATACTCCTCCTGCAATGGCCCTTAGAGAGTACAGAGAGGTAAATATGCTTCTGACTGTTTATGATTAGTAAATACTGTACAAAATAAGTACCAGCTCTAAAAGTCTTTTAGAGATTGGACTGGTTATGGCTTTCTTCAGTAAATAATTATATATTATTAAAATCTTACCAATCTTGCAGTTAGGCAGAATTAGTGCACATATTGCACTAATTGTGTGTATTTAAAACCACAGAATTGCTAAAAGGATTTGTAATTAGCCTGCCCTGCTTGGTGTGCTCCAATGTTCATGAAATTTTGTTACTCTGGGACTGCATGAATTTCTAAATCCCATATATAATTGATGGAATAAGTTTTTATAGTTGTTACAGAATGATGTTTGACTCTCAGAACTAAGTTCAGCTTTGATGTCTGTGGTAGGTGTCAAAGTGTTTCAATGAAGTACTAAAGACAAGTGTCAGGAGGATGAGGTGACAGTATCTGGTGAAGAAAGCCTATTGTGTTTTAAAGGGACTGCTCTAAGCTGTACAGCTTCATAATATTACAATGGAACAGACAAGAATACCTTATCCAAGCACATTGCTTATTTATTCAACAAACAATCCTTTATGCTTTAAAAAAACTATTTTTTAAACCACCAAAAATATGTTTGTCAGGCATGGGTGTATGGACTTCAATCATTACATAGTTTGCACCCAGCTGAAATGAATACCAAAAGCCTTTAATTTGGTTTCCTTAGTTGAGGTTAGCTGCCTTTCCAGTGCTGACAGGCATCCTGCAGTTCTGATTCTGGCATCCCTCTTCAGACGGTGCCTTATGCAAGTGAGATTTGGCCCTCTGGCATGTGTAAGTTACTGCATGTGTGCACATGTTTGACTCTAGATGTGTTTTCTGATACTTTTTGCTCTCCTTCCTCTAGAAAATGGGTATTCCTGCTAAGCTGGTGGTTTGTGGGATGACCTCCCACGGTTTCACGATCGCGGACCCGGACGACAGAGGCATGTTGGATATCTGCGGCTTCGACACAGGAGCTTTGGACGTCCTTCGAAACTTCACTTTGGATCTGATTTAACATTTTTAGGCATCTGCTTTTCCCAGTGGGTCCATTGCTGGCAACAGACTTCACCCTGGGAACTCCCAGCCAAATCTACTTTATTAGCTCATGGCATATTGTATACATATCAGAATGTTACAGGAGGTGGTGGCACTTCAAGCATCTCTGACTAGAGCTTCTCACTAAGGTGTTTGTAAGGTTGAACAGAACTTCAGTCTCATGCAAATCTAACAGAGAAACTCAGTGCTGGCATTTCTGGTGTCAAACTAACTGTGAGTAGCCAGTGATCCCGCTGCCGTTGGAGGTGGCAGCCACATGTCACCGCTGTCACCCTGGGACTGGGCGCCATGCAGCAGCGCACTGTGCATTTGGACACCATTGGTAGTGGCTGGCAGTGCAGTCACATCGCCCTTCAGAGTCCTGCAGCACAGCTGCAGCCCTGCTCCATGCTCCTTCAGAAAGGCACCTCCACTCCTCAGGCACCTTCCTTGTATCCAGCACCCTCCTTTTCCCAAGGCAGTTGGCTTATTCCTATACATGCACTCAAAGCTCTAGTTGGACTTCATTCATTCCCTGACCAGCCTGGGCTCTGTGTGAGCTGGAGCTCCAGAGAGCATCATCCCTTGTGTGATAACCACAGGAACTGTGCTCTGAGTCCTGTGGGCCAGCACCAGCCACTCTGCATCTGTCCCAGGGGTGAACAGGACCCCCTGTTATGATGGGATGGTGGCAGGACCACAGTGTATTTCACAAACCCTTGGTCCCTGAGCTTCACCAAAGTCTTCCTGGCTAGCCTGGCCTGCATCACATGAATCACCCCATCCTTGTTACCCTCAAGCTCCACAGCATCCACTGCCTTGAGGAGAAGGGTGGTTTTGCCTGGGCCCAAGGAAGACACCACCACAGCAAACACTTGATGTCAGCATGCTGGACCCTGCTCTTGCTCTCCACCAGTGCTGGAGTCAGCTCAGACACCATCTTGGCCACATCCAGCTCCTCAGCAGGGGAGGTGAAGAGGGGCACAGTGCTGTCCAGCTCCTTGTGGACTTTGGAGTTCCTCTGCTGCAGGTAGCCCTGCTGCAGCAGCAGGCCCAGCACCTGCTGAGGATGTGCTGCCTCCATCAGCCACAGGAGCACAGTTGTACTGCAGGATGTCCAGCTTCCCGTCCCCCAGGACTTCAGCAGCAGCACAGACCAGCAGGGCCAGGAACAGGTGGTCACCTCCAGAGCCCTGAGCACCACCTTGGAGTCATCGAGGAGGGTGTAGAGGGAGCTCAGGAGCCCCAGAGTTCAGACCTTGGCCTTCTAGGACTGAGCAAGTCCCTTGCAAACAATCCTGAAGGGAAAGCAGTCCAGGAAGGCTGGACATTGTTCAAGGATCTTAAAGATGGAGGAGCAGGCTGTCCCATGTGCTGGAAGATGAGCCAGTGGGGAAGAAGACTGGCCTGGTTGAACAGGGAGCTGTCACTGGAACTCAGGGAAAAAAGACCTTTGGAAGAAGGGGCAGGATGCTCTTGAGGACTACAAGGATGTTATTAGGTTATGCAGGAAGGTTAGAGAAGTGAAACCCCAGCTAGAAATTAATTTGGCCACTGTTGAAATAGATAACAAAAAGTTTTTTTACAAATACCTCAGCAACAAAAGGAGAGCCAAGGAGAGAATCTCCATCCTTTATTGCACGTGAGGGGAAGCATTGCTACAAAGGATGGGAAAAAGGCTGAGGTACTTGATGCCTTCTTTGCCTCAGTCTTTAGCCTCAGTCTTTAATAGTCAGACCAGCTGTCCTTGGGAAGACAGAGACAAGGAACAAAATGAGGTCCCTGTAATTCAGGAGGAAACAGTGCCCTGCTCCTTAGGGCACTTACAGTGTTCAAAGGTCCCTGGGGTCTGATGGAATCCACCCAAGCTGCTCTCCACCATTTATCATCAATCTTGGCTAACCAGGGAGGTCTCAGGATGACTGGAGGTTGGCCAGTGTGACACCCATTGAACAGAAGGGCTGGCAGGAGGATGCAGGAAGCCACAGCCTGTTGCACTCAGTGCCAGGGAGGGATGTGGAGCAGATCATTGGATCCCACAGCACGTGCAGCACAGCCAGGGATCAGGCCCAGCCAGCATGGCTTTGTGAAAGGCAGGTTCTGCCTGCCCAACCTGACCTCCTGCTATGAATGGTGACCTCCCTAGTGGATGAGGTGGAGGCTGAGGATGTGGTCTGCCTGGCCTTCAGCAAAGCCTTGGACACTGTTTCTCTCCTGTCTGAGAAGACAGATAGGAGCCTGTGGCTTGGACAGGTGCACTGTTTGCTGGCTGAAAAACTGGCTGGATGGCTGGGCACAGAGAGTGGTGGTGCCTGAGTCACATCCTGCTGCTGGCTGGCCACCAGTGCCAGTCCTGCTCAGTATCTTTGTGGCCGATTTGGACAAGGGGTTCGAGGCCACCCTCAGTTTGCAGATGACACCAGGTTGAGTTGATCTGCTGGAGGGCAGGAAGGCTCTGCAGAGGGATTGACAGGCTGGGGCCATGGATTGAGTGTGGCCCCAAGTGCTGCCTTTGGGTCCCAACAATCTCAGTAATGCTCCAGGCTGGGGCAGAGTGGCTGGGAAGCTGCCCTGTGGAAAAGGACCTGGGGACCTGGTCAGGAGTGGGTGAACAAGAGGCAGCTGTGCCCAGGTGGGCAGGAAGGCCAAGGGCATCCTGGCTGGGATCAGAAAGAGGGGCAGCAGGACCAGGGAAGGGATTCTTCCTCTTGGCACTGGGGAGGCTGAACCTCAAATCCTGTTTGCAGCCAAGAATTGGAGCAGGCTGCCCAGGGAGGTGGTGGAATCATCACCCCACGAAGTGTCCCAAAACCACATGGATGTGGTGTTGAGGGACATGGCTCAGTGGTGGACCTGGCAGTGTTGGGTTGATGGTTGGACTCCATCTTAAGAGCTCTTTTCCAACCCTCATGGTTTTGTGATTTTTATTAACTTTTTGTGAAGGGAAAACGAGAAAAGCAGATGAGGAATCTCTTTTTTTGTTTTTCCTGTTGCACACAATTTAGAATAACAGTGAGAAGTTTGCTAAAAGTGGTTACAGGGTTACATAGTATATAATTTAATTTCATTTATAGTAGACTATAAATATGGAGAGATTTTTAATTTCCCCCATTGCTGTGGAATGCTTATTTGCAAGAATAAATTCATTAATTACTTCTAGAATGGAGCTGGAAACAAATGGGCTTAGTATTTTAATAATGGCAGTTTACCAGCAGCTTCATTGAGAGAGAATTTTCTTTGGGCTTTTTTAAATCTTTGTATTTTAAGTGTTAGTAACGTTCAATGGTTTCCATGGCTATGGCTAAAATCTACAAAAGAAGTTTTTTCTGGTATGTATTGAGACCATGTGACTGTGATACAGTGTAAAAGTTACCCAGGGACATTTTATACTGCTAAAACTGAAAGTGCAAGAGCTCATGCTAATCTTTTTCTCTCTGGATTATCATCGGGGTTTTCAGGAGGAAATATCTCTTTAGGTAAATTGAGGGGCAGTTTCTGCACAATATCACTTCAGAAGCACTAGTTTAGAATTAAAAATGCTTTACAGGAAGTTCTAAAAACTGTTTTTAGTAGAAAAAGACCTTGGAAATGACTGGGATGTCACATTCAGTCCTTGTCACAACTTCAAGAAGCATCAGCACACCTTCAGTGAGCAAGATTAACAAGTGCATGTGTCTTGGCCTGCTCAGCAAAGCTGAGTGGGAGCAACCAGAAACAAAAAGCTACTTTTTTTTTTTTTCAGAAGAATGTATTCAATGACTCAGAATCAATCTTCCTAACAGGAGAGTATTTCATTTTTTAAGATCTTTTTGTAGATTAGTGTTACTTCTGATTTCATAAATTAATTCAAGCTAACATATTTCAAAACTACCTCCAGTTTGTAGTGACCAATTCTTAAAAACTTTTATGAACTGTACAGTTGCCTCCTTCATGCTCACAAAATCATGTTTAGGAAGTGATTGAAACTGGATTCTTTATTTTTAATTTTTTATTTTTAGTCTGATAGTAAGAGTATGACAAGGAGAAAGCCAGTGAGTATTCTACCACTTTGGAACAGAAACTGATAGCAGTTTGTGTGTGTATGTATTTAATTCTGTGTTTTCTATGTGTATGGGGGGAAGTTAAAAGATCTCTTTAGTAGATCAATCTTACAAGATCTGAAAGGTTTTTTAGTGATGCTTTAACAACTTCCTCTAAAACATACGTATTTCAGTCTCTTTTAAGCTAATACAGACTGTTTTAAACAGCAGATTTTATGTTAATTTGAAAATAATTATGATTTATAAAAATATCATGTTTACCCATAGTGGTAAATGACACATCAGACCATATTTTTCTGCCTAAAACCCAAGCTTTTAAATGTAAAATTGAAGTTCCTACTATACTTTTGGTACTTGTAACACTTGTCATTATGCCTCATTCCTATTGATGATAAATTCAAAGCTTGCATTGTGTAGCTGGGATATCTCTTTTGGTGCTAAAATAGGATGTTACATGTTAGTGAAGGTATTCTGCTACTTCCTTACACTCTCCCTTGATGCATAATGAATCCAGAGAGGGAAGCCTTTCCTGGCATGAAGCAGGGCTGACAGAACTGCTGGGTAGTGTTGCCTTTCAGCCAGCATGAATGTAAGTCACTCCTGAATTCTCACTGCTCTCACAGAATGCTTGGGGACACAGGACTGCCACCAGCTCCTCAGGTGAGTTCTAGAACAAACCAAGTGTTCCTACAAAAGCTAAGACACAGCACTTTGGGGTTTGCAAAAAGAAAATCAGCCATTTCTCATGAAAAATTGCATAGCATTCTTAGCATCTAAACAGAACACCATGAGTATGGGGAGTAAACTCATTTGCTCAATACATATTAATAATTATTTCCAGTAAATGCACTGATGTTTTGGGGTTGGGTTTGGTAGTAATGAGTTTAAAATGACACAATAGTCAAACATCTGATTGGGTGTTTCCTTCTAAGCTAGAGATATCAAAAATAACTGATAGATGAGTATCTTTTGCAAGTACTTTTTCTTATTTGCAGTAGTATTTGTGAAGTAATAGGAAATATTTTGGACTAAATATACAATTAAAACTTAAAACAGGTGTTTCAAGTAACTTTCAAGTAAACTTATTGCAAATAAAAATTAGACTAGTTACTAACAGATTGAATGTATGGTTATAGTGGTGTTGCATCTTTGGAAGCAGTCCAGTTTAGAATGCAGTTCCTTGAACTAGAGTGTGGAGGTAAAGATGAACTTTTCAGTAGGAGTGATAGAAATTGTAGATCCCTGTATCTGTTGACACTGGATAGCTGTGACCAATGGTAAAAGGTAGGCATCCCTGCTGGGGTACAGAATGTGCTCCTAAACATTTATAGTGACTCTGGACTGAAAACCTGCTCAGTGGTTTCTGTGATGTAAAGCCAGCTCTGGTCAGACCACATTGCCATCTGCTCCTCCTTCAGGATTTGCACAGAGAGGAGAAACTGAAGTAAATGCTGACAGCTGAAATTTTGTAGTTTGTGGACCTTTGTTTCTGGGAGCTTCTTTCTGGTTTTGCCATTCTCTTCTATTAAGGGGCATAGAAGAATGATGCTGCCTATTCCTTGTCCATAGACTGGATCTTTTTTATCTGCCCATACACTGAATTTTAGGGGACAGCATGTCTCACTTGCCATAGCATGCATTTGGCCTGTTTCTAGTCTTTAGTTATTAAACTGATAATTTCCAAAACAGCTCTAGACATGTAAAGAGGCAATAATTACTGTAATGCTTGAAAAAGAATTTAAAAAGTGAGTTAAGACAAAATTGATAAGCTTAAGCTTCAGTTCAGTGTGCAATAAACAACCTAAAAAGAAGACTTTCAAATTACTAGTGGTCATTGCATTGGAGGAACACTGACTGGAAAAGCAGAAAAGGGGCTGTAATTGTGCACTGCAGTTTACCAGTAAGCATTGAGCAGGGACAAGTTTCAAGCTAGTTAATTTTATTCAAAATGCTAGTCTAAAATGCAGAGTGCAGCTGTAGACCAGGCAAATGCAGGTTTCCTGACAGCTAACAGTTACCTGGTTTCAGTTTGACTGCTGTTTCTCTGTGACCCTCTTGACAATTCTGGAGCATTAGACTATTGCGTTGAACACTGTAATGTGTTCAATTTAGCTTTAAGAAAGAAGAAAAGCATGTTGTGGTTGGAAGCACAGCAGAAGTGAAACATGCTCCTGTGAGGAATGAACATCCAGGGTCAGGTTTCTTCTTGGAAGGGACACAATAAATGACATGGAGAGGGCAGGAGGCTCTTGAGTTTTTAAAAATAATGCAGTGAGCACATCAGCACTGAGTAATAAATTCAATAATGACAGTAATAATTTTGCCAAGAAATAGAATTTCATGTCAGGAATTTTAGACCTGGAGCAAGGAGTAGGAGGGTTTGAGGTGCTTGTAGAATTAGATTGCAGTCCTCTGTTTCAGAAAGGAGAAGTCTGAGGGTAGGTGGAGTTGTGAGGTCAGCAGGGCCAGTCTAAATGCCCACTGTGTGAGGGCTGCTAATAACTGGCACTAAAATACCTTGCTGCTTAAAACCACTGTTAAACCTGTTTGTCAAACATAAGTCTTAAGGAGGTTTATGTTGGTTTTTCACACTGGTGTAGTTAACTGATGCCCATAAATGAGTATGCCTTTAAAAGGCTATTCCAGAAAGTACATATTTTTGGCTAAAAACACACCAGCAGTTTGGGAAATGTATTTTAATAATGGCTCTGACTGTAAAAACACTAGGAAAATATTTGTCTGCATTGCAAATACTGCTTAACCCTGTCCTGAGCTCACAGGCACCATTACAGGAACTTCTGTTTTGGTTCCATTTGTTTTGTTTCTTCTTCTTTTGCTGTCCCCTTTTCTCTGTTGATGTTGGGTTTTTTCCTCCTTTTCCATCTTGTCACCTCAGGCCTATACTTGAATCTTTTTTCACAAGCTCTCATCTATTCATTTACTGTTTTATTTTTGCCTCTATTCTTCTGCCTTCTTGCTGTCACTGAGTGTGCTTGCTTAGCTCCCTGCACCAGAACTGATGGCATAGTATTTCATGTTTCTAATAATGAATATTTTTTCTGTTCTTTAATTATATAAATCTCTTAGAAAACATCTAATTTGTTGTATCTGTCAGATTTTTGGTAAAACTGAGTGTAAAAATCAGTTACAAAAGTATATTTTATTTATTACAAAAATCCAACATCTGCCTGTGAATGGCTTTATTTGAAAAACGTAATGATTACAATTGGCTTTTCAAATGTGAATCTTTTTTCTAGAATCACTTCAGTGATTTGAAACTTTTCTTTCTTTTAAATGGTATCATGCAGAATTAGGAAAACATTTAAATTAATATTCTGGATAAACAGGCAGTTTCTTTGCTGTATTGACTAGAGAAAGCCTTCAAAGAATAGGCTATAGAAGTAAACCTAAGTAAAGAATCATTTGTCTTTGTTGTGTTCATTTAGTTTCTATGAAATTCCACCAGTGTCTAGGTTTATTTTGCTGTCTGCAGTGGTCTGCAGTGCACAGAAAGGCTGCTGTAAGCAGCTGTTCTAATGACTTTCTTGCTGGAATGGTAGAGATTTCATCTTACTGTGACACTGTGGAGTGTGCAAATGGCTGAGCAAGAATTCTGGGGAAAAGGTAAAACACTGACCAGGACAGTGTTTTATGGATATGCTGCCCTGAGGGAAATCATAAAAGATAAGCTAATTTCAGCAGAAGGTATGGTGTCTTTAAATATGTGTGCTTACATATCTGGATTTATGATTCTGATACTGCAAAGCGTGGTTTCTTTAGGTATTTCTGCTTTCTGAATTTAAGTTTATATATATATATATTTGCATATATATGTGGTATGTTGAGAACTTCTACAAATGCTTCATTAACAAATAATGAATATAAGTAGCTGTTTTCCTAATGTTACCAGCTTAAGAGTTAAGCACAACTAGTTATAAAATGTCTTTTCATTCTCCTGTAAAAGTGCAGTTCTACTCTTTAAAAATAATTCTCTATTTAAAAAGCAACACATGGGCACATTGACAGCTTTGTGTGCTTCATTAAATAATTCAGTGTTTGTTTCCAGCTTCTTCTGCTTCTTAGAAGCTTGGGATTTAAGATGGATGATAAATTTCAATATTTAGATCCCAGGACAAGCATATTTTAAGGTAAACAGCTTTGTTCTGGAGACAATGCTAGGGGAAAAAAAAAGATGGAAATTTTTAATGACTATTCTTGAGGTTCTTAATTTTGGTTGGGTTTTCCCCCCCCTAGATTAGAACCACACTTTAACTGCCATATCATGTTTAATTAACTGAAGCATAACACGGCTTTGTGCCATCCAAGTAACAAAGGCACTGTCTTGCTGCTACTTTCTGTGAAATTGTACACAATGAAAAAAACTGTTTGGATGGGGAGCCTTAATATGGTTAAAAAGAAACATAATTAACCCTTTGGGTGCCTTAAGCTAGATCCTGTTTAATGATGGGGCACTCACTTGTATCTGCAGGCACAGCTTGTTTCAATGGCTGCAAGAGAATTTGCCTTAAGTGACAGTGCCCTGGGATTTCCACAATTTGGAACTCAAAGGGTTATTTTAGACTACTGGTTAAAAAAAACCAAGCCTCTAAACAGGGAACAAAGTGAAAAGGTCTTGGAAAAATTCCTTTGCATACTATTATTATTTTTACGTGATGGGTTTATCAGCTTTGGGGACAAAATTGTTGTTAAGCTTTTGGTAAAAACATCACTGGCTGAAGAATTGTACACAGAGAAAAAGAATACTTGGTATTCTTATGTGACTATATGTGCAAAATAAATTGCTTTATTAAGTGTAAATTCAGAGAGAGATGCACATCTGTGTGCAATAATTAAAATGAAACAAGGTCAGTGTGTTGAATTAGCTGATTACATATTAAAGATGCACAATGCAGGCAACTGTATACTAAAGGCTTTCTACAAATGATGCAGTTTAAACTTAGTTCAAACCTGCATCACAAAAATGAAGCTGTCAAGTTTAAGTGTTATTCTTGCTGTCCTTGTTAGCTGGAATTAAAGATTGATGGTTTTTTTTTTCCTTGAGGGAAAAAGTAGTTTAGATACATGCAGTGCTGAAAGCAATGGAAATAACAAGATTCTTAATTGACAAAAAGTGAGTAAAAAATTAATTAATTGACTAATGTTTTTATTCTAATATGTGCACCTTTAGTTGTGTAATGGTCCCTTTAACCGAAGAGTGGGATATAATTTTCTACTTGCATATGAACTACTTTGAAATAACCAAGAGTCTTGGCATTGCCTGGTCTGGCTTTGGATGTACATTGTACGGAAACTATGGAATTTTAGTCATTTCTTTTAGACATTTAACTGAAAGTTAAAATGGCTAGTAAACTGCATTCTGGCTGTAGAATTTAAGTACTAAATAAACTCTATGCATATTAGACCTGCTTCCCGTGCTCTTTATGTTTGATGCTGCTGTTGGATCAGTTGTAGCACAGTCTGCAGCTGAGTGCCCGAGCTGCCTGGCCCCCCTGGAAGCCATTCCTGAATGGCAGTGCAGACTGAGCCCTCAGAGTGCAGAGGAAAGATGAAAGCTGTCACTCTCTAAAGCTGCCAGAATCTTTATTCCCTTTTCTGTTCCAGTGGACACACGAGTTGGGAGCTGGGTGATCAGGCATTGGGAGTACAGGAGAGGCAGACATGCACACACCAGTATCACTACAAACTGGGTTTGCTTTACACTTCAGTTTGACACAGAAGAATTATATTTAAAGAAACCATTAAATAAAATGGTTTCAATAAAATTTATTGAGACAAAGCTAAAAAGCAAACTAATGTGCAGCAAAACCCACAGGATTCTTTTTGCAGAGCCTGGGCTTCCCTGGAGCAGGATGTAATCACCATGAAATGACATCACTGTCTCACTAAGAGCCCCAAGAGTTACAGAATGTTTGCTAATGACCATTGTGGGCTTGTGGGAAAGCTGAGGCAAGGACACCAAGTAATTTACCAAGTCCATAAAGTGTAAGAGTGATCTGTAATTCAGAAAGCCATGGTTTGAGGTTGTTGAGTGCAGCTCATGCTGTGTCTGTGATCTTCTGATTTCATCTGAAATTCTGTTCATACAAAGGAAGACGAAGCTAGAGGTGGTTGCTCAGTAATTTCGCCTCATTTGACACTGATTAATTAAAGGAAGCAGTTTGCCTTCCTCATGAAGCTTTTGAGCATCTGTTGCACCTCCAACACAAGTCCCATTGATAAACACTCTTGGGACCTATCAAGAAAACAAAAGTTGCATTAGTTATCTCTTGGAAAAAGGTAAACATTCAAGCAAGCCCATGTGGACTCTAGTACACACAATCACTGTGTTCCAGATGTGTGTATAATATTAGTGTACAACCCATACTTGTCCATAATATTTACAGAGATGGGAAACTTCATGTGCCCCTCAGAAGTGGGATGAAGACACTGAGTGGGTGATTGTATTAAATTCCAATAATTGAGTCAAGTGAGACTATGTAAATTAAAATAAAGGTGTTAAATGCAATGGTTTAAATATACAAATTAAAAATTGCTTTGATACTTCAATTATTTCAGTGTGAGTACAGCAAAGATCAGCTGTGAGGGATAGCCAGAGGGGTTCTAGAAGAAGAGACCTCCTGCAGTATTTAATTTAGAGCTTGTATCCCAAATTTACCTATCTCAAAACAATTAAGGATTTGCTATGGATATAACCCAAGAGGGATGCAGGTAGCCCAAGCTGTTACTTGTTAAGTATAAGAGAACATACTTACTGTTCTGCCACCAGTCATCTGTTCCAGAATGTCTTGGAACTGCTTTCCATTTCTATTTAGGTCCAGTTCCACAGTTGTGTAATTCACATTCAAACCCTGAAAGAGGTTTTTTGCCATTCTGCAGTATGCACATGTTGTTTTAGAGAAAATCACCACACAGTTGCGTGAAATAATGTCCTGTGTGCTCAAAGGAAAGTTAAAAGTGAGTGAGCTTCAAGCCAATGCACTTAGAACACTATTGAACACTCATGAAAGTAGTACACAGGTTAAAAAGCTGCTGTTAGAGTAGCAAACACAGGAAAATCTCTGCTGGCACCTCTGAAAGCAGGTTTGACCTGCATCTGGCTCCAAACCAGCACAAGGATGGTAGAGTGTGTGGTACAACTCTGCTCTGCAGCCTGCCCTGCTCCCTTTGTCCCCCTGAATTGTTTAGGACAGATTTCTCTGTCTGTAGGGCACTTGGGATGTGCCAGTGGCAAACACAGTGACCAAAAGCAGTGGCTGGAAGGTACAACCTTATCATTTTACTGTAAATTCAAGGGGATTTCAGGCTATCATTAACTATCAGTTAATTTTTAAAAACCACAACTTCTAAAATATTTAACTTTACTTGATATCAGTTATTTTACAAGGTTCTATCCCCGATGTCAATGGCAACATGAATTTCAGAAGAGGTCAAAAAAACCCCATAAAACGGGTGCAGCCTAGGAAGATCAGGTTCCAGGGCTGTGGACAAACAAAACTGCCAACATGTCTTGATAACCATGATGAACATAGGAACAGGTTTAACAGGCAGAACTATATACAGTGTTTCTTTGTGTTAATAAGAAAAGGTTTGAAGTAATTGGCTTTTATAAATGCTGAAAATCAGTAAAAGCAACATAAATAATGCTACCTGTATTTGATTCACGGCAGCACCATACGACAATCCTACAGAAGCCGTCTGTCTGTTCCCCATTCTATAGCTAAAAAGAAATGACAGTCAGATCTTCGAGCTTTCAAAGGATGGCCACACTGGCCTGTTTTGTTTCGGTATTTCACTGACTGCGCCATGGAGGTTCCCTTGAGCTGCAGCATGTGCAGCCAGCCCGCTTCTCGTGTGGCCGCAGGGACGGGGAGCAGCGGGATGGCTGCGGCTGGAACAGCCCGGCCCCGGGGCCGTTACACGGGAACCGCTCCGCGCCGCCGGCGACAGCCACACACACACGGGTGACACCGGCGGCACCGCGGGCCCGGCTCCCCGCACCCGCCCCGCCCCCGAGCCCGGCCTCATCCTCATCCCGAGCCCTGTCCTTCTCTCAGTCCCGATCCCAGACCCGGTCCTTGTTCCGATCCCGATTCCCGTCCCTGTCTCAACCCTAATCCCAGTCGTGGTCCCGGTCCCGATCCCTGTCCTTGTCCCCGTCCCGGTCCCTGTCCCGACCCTAATCCTACTCGCGCTCCGGGTCCCGGTCCTTATCCCTGTCACAGTCCCAGTGCCGATCCCACTCCCTGCTCCAGACCGTGTCCTTGTCCCGATCCCAGTCCTGGCCCCAATCCCTATCTCTATCCATGCCCCTATCCTTATCCCATTCCCATTCCCGGTGCCATTCCCGGTGCCGGTCCGGTGCCCCCGGCCCACACTCACCGCCCCCCCCAGGCCGCGGCCACGCGGCGCAGCGCCCCCTGCAGGGCCATGGCTCGGGCAGGAAGGGGCGGCGCTCCCTCAGCCCGCCCCGCGCCGCGCCCGCAGGGCCCCGCGCCGCCTCCCGGGGCTGCCCGCCGCAATGCCGGGGCTCCGGGAGCGCCAGCCGCACCGGGACAGCACGGGGACAGGGATAGCACGGGGTCAGCTGGGCCAGACAGGGAAAGGGACAGCACTGGGACAGCTGGGCCACCACGGGGACAGGGACAGCACAGGGCCGGCACAGGGGCAGCACAGGATTCCCGGGATAGGATCAGGAGAGGCGTAGAGAGGGGCTGGATTACCCGGGATAGGGTCAGGAGAGGCATAAAGAGGGGCTGGATTTCCCGGGATAGGGTCAGGAGAGGCATAAAGAGGGGCTGGATTTCCCGGGATAGGGTCAGGAGAGGCGTAGAGAGGGGCTGGATTTCCCGGGATAGGATCAGGAGAGGCATAAAGAGGGGCTGGATTTCCCGGGATAGGGTCAGAAAAGGCGTAAAGAGGGGCTGGATTTCCCGGGATAGGATCAGGAGAGGCATAAAGAGGGGCTGGATTTCCCGGGATAGGGTCAGAAAAGGCATAAAGAGGGGCTGGAATACCCGGGATAGGGGTCAGGAGAGGCATAAAGAGGGGCTGGTTTCCCGGGATAGGTCTCGGAGCCGCTCCTCCTGTGAGGGGGGTCGGGGAGGTTTGGCCTCCTGCCCGGCTGACTCCCAGATCTGGGGGTTTCGGCGGTGCCTTTGCTTTGTCCAGTGTAAAACTTACTTGAAATCTTCTCCGTCCCGGTTTCTGTTGCCTGTTCTTCCTCACGTTTCTTTCCTGCCCTGCAGTTCTTTGGTCAGAAACCGACCTGTGGAACAGGAGCGTTGGGAATGGAGTAAATAATGGGTGGGGGATGAAGAGCTGCTCCTGGTACCTGGGAAGTTGTGTTAGTGGAGTTGGCTAATCGTGTAACGTGTGGAATGTGTTTAGTGGCTCCTGGGGAAAAAAAAAATAGGGGAGGTTTTACTTTATGTGGAGGTCTTGGATTTTTTTATTTCCTCTGCCCAGTAAAAGCTGTTGAACAATATTCTGTATTTCAGCCCCACATACCTTGCTGTGGAGCCTGGTGAAATGAGTGTCCTTGGCAGAGCACTCCTGTGGAACATCCTCTGAGCATCCCCTCCAGGGTCTGCACAAGTATTTCAGTAGTGGAGAAACTTTTCTACCCCCTCTTAGTTGAGAGGGTAAATTGTGCTCTGGAACACTGTTCAGTGCTGAGCCCTGTGTTTTAAAAAATAATGCAAGGAAATGCACTCGGTTCTGATTTGGTTTTGCTCACATGTATCTGTGAAAAAAGGAATGTGTGTTCATGCGTGATGTATCTTTCTATCATCTTCCTGGATGTTGATTAATCTTAAATGAACTTACCTATGATGAAAATTTCTTTAATGTTTTGCAACTTAATTTTCCTTTCCTACAAAACATCAGTATAACCTGTTAAAATAGTGAGAAAATGCAATAGAGACATTGTACCCATGTCATATACTCTCATTTTACTAAATGATAATTTGCTTGCTCATTTCAGATAATGATTTTGTAGCCTAATCTTCTGTGATAAAACTGATAAACTCTCAGGTATATAATGCCACATGAAAATAGTTTTATATCAAATCCTAATTCAAAGATATAAATGCTGGTTAATAATGTCACTGTGATCCCCAAAGGAAACTGTGGGAACTATTTTGTAAACTCCCAGTTAAAACTTGTAATGAAAGTGTCACGTTAAGAGTAAACCCACTATATTTTTGCATTAAATTTGGCAGAAAATCACCCCCCTGGCATTCCAGCTGCTCCTTAGCTATCAGAGGGGCTGGGACAGCAGGGTTTAGCTTCTGAGCCGTGGCCAGTTCGGCAGCAGACATGCAGAGCTGGTGTGGCACTGGAAAGAGATGACCTTTGGAGTTCCTTTCAGCCCAGCCCAGCCTAGCCTGTGGGTCTGTGCCAGTGGGGAGTACCCTGTGTGCAGAAGTGTGTGTGAGCCCAGGAAATATGAACCATCCAGCCAGCCGCAAGCACAGTCAGGTGAGAGACGCCAGCTGTGGAGGGATAGAATGTAAGAGAATAGTGCAGAAGGGAATCTCACTGCTGAAGAGTTGCAGCTGTACTAATCACCAAAGATTAGGAAGAGGCCTGCCCTTAACAGCCCACACCTGTGTCCAATAAGAAGATGGGTGCCACAAAAGAGGGGGTTAGCTGGGTGAGAAGGGAGCTGGAGTTTGTTGGCTGTGTGAGAAGGAGTCAGTGCTGTGAGGAGCTGTCTGTGCAAAATCACCAAGAAGGTATGGAATTTTTACAATAAGATGAAAACATGTAGCAGTAAGAGTATTATCACAAATACAGGCTGGCTTTCTGAATTTCTGAGTAAGCACCTGCTACAGCCGAGCACTGGACTCTTACCCAGTAGGTGTCCCTGAGGGGAGGAGATAGGCAGAGCCCTCTGACGGTGCCAGGAATCAGAGATAGAGTCTCCTCTCACCTCCCTTACTGCTACAGCTGTATTTATATTGTTTCCAGTGAGTGACAGGAGAAGGTGAAGTTGTGGCTGACATAATTTCCTTTTTAAGTGGAGTTTGATTTTGGTCACGAGCATATATGGGGAGTACTGACACAAAGCTGGGTCATTCCTTTGGCTGAGTTCCTGTTCCCTGCATTGTTCCTGCCAGAGCATGACCACAGCACCTCTGCACTGCTCCATCCTTGGTTTCACATCTGCATTGATTTCAGCAGGGCGAGACCAACTTGCTCCCTGCTGCTCCCTGCCTTGTTCCCTCCTCCCAGAGCAGCACACCCAGCTCCTGCAGGGATCCTGCTCCTAGGGATGCAGGCAGCTTGTCCCTGCTGAACTACTGCCAGTGCACACGCTCCTTGCTCCCCTTTCCTTTCCCTTCCCTTCTTCTTCACTGTTCTTCCCAGTAAAGGCAGCCTTAAGTGGAAAAGGAAACCAGAACTACAATGTTTTCTGGAAACCTGAAAATAAATCTCTTTGCAGCTGTGTGTGCACCATTCTGTGCTCCCTGAGCAGCAGAATGGAGCAGAATTGAAATGAGGGGCTTTTTGGTGTCATTGTAACACAGTGACTGTGTGTCTCACTGAAAAGAGGTGTTACTTGTGGTGCAGCAGATATACAGGATGTGTTTCTGAAGAGGTAGCGCTGGTTTAGGGGATACACTGGGGCTTTTGGATGAGGCATGGAAATGGGACTTGGCCTGCTGGAAGCATTTCAAGTCCTGCTCCAATTTTCATGAGCTGTAGCTCTAGTTATAGTTCTAAATCCAGTTCAGGAAATGATATTGTTTATTCATTATGCCTTTGTCTTCTAAACACATAAATATTACTCTATACCTACTGACAAATAAATATTGTCAGTGATTGGTATAATTCACCATGTTACTGGGTGTTGTAGTACATATTTGTGTGCTAGACTATTTCAATACCATATCTGAAATATTTTAAATACACTTGTGGTGCTCTGCATGTTGTTACTGTGATACAGATGGGGCTATCACTGACATATTGCAACAGGGAATTCTATAGACTGTTGGCTTTTAGTCTGTTTTGTCAGCCTCAGCACGTTACTTACAAAAAGAAAAATGACCCAATTCTGCCTTTTTGCAAATTTGAGATGGTATCATGTTTTCTGCCAGTGTTGGAAAGTATTAAGAAAATTCTGAGCATCAAAGGTTAGAATAAGTCATGATAAGAGTTTGTTCTAGGATCTCAAATCCTGCTATTTATATTCCCCAGGGGGTACCAGTGTGTTTGGTTCTGCTGGGAATGCTATGCTCCCAGTTTGTGTGTGTTTGAGCAGAAGAAATTAACCTGGAACATGGGGAGAGCACGTGCCAGCTACAGCTGTGCAGTTGCTCAGGTGAGCAAACAGAGCAAACTGAGCTCTGAGATCCCAAATTCTGTAGGGTAACATGGGATGTGCTCCATGGCATTACTGTTTGTCCTTCTTCACATTGACAGGCAACATTTTCCTAATGACCTTTTTTTTGTTATAGTCTTTTGATGGCTTATTTGTATCAGACTTAAAGGGCATTTTTGTGATTGATAAAGCAGAGACTTCTCTCTTGTTTTTTTACCCAGCTTTATGTCCAGGATAGAGAGATTTTTCTCTCCAGCCTGCAAAGTGAGATGCACACGGTGTCTGAGAGAATCAGAGTGAGAGAAAATACCCGGGATTGGAAGGGACCCACAAGGATCATCGAGCTGCACTCCTGTTCCTGCACAGAACACCCCAATAATCCCACCATGGATTGTGTCTGAAAACATTGCCCAAAAGCTTCTGGAACTCTGGCAGGATTGGGACCATTACCTGCCCTGGGGGAGCCTGACCACCATCTGGGTGAGGAACCTCTTCCTAATACCCAGCATCAACTTCACTGATCCTGCTTCCTGCTGCTCCCTCTGCTCCTTTGACACTGTTTGCTTGAGGTATCACCCTAAACACCCCCAAATCCCTCTCAGGGTCCTTTAAAACCTCTCTAGTGTCACTAAAACCCCTCCAAGTGCACCATAAACCAGCCCAGCACCTCCAACACCTCTCAAACCTCCTCAGCACACCCGAATCCATTTTAGTTTTCTCAGACCCCTCCCAGCACACCCTAAAGCCCCATTAGCACCCCAAATCCCTTTGAGCACCCTCTAAATTCTCTTTAGCTCCACTAAAACTCCTCCTGGTGTACCACATGCTATCCTGGCATCCCAAACCCCCCCTCAAACCTCAACACCCCCGAAACCCTTTTTAGTTGTGCTTTAGCATCCACTAATGCTTCCCAGCACCCTGAAAAACCTCCTTAGCACCACCCACGCTTTCCAGCACCCTCTAAAATCCCTTCAGCACCACCTAAACCCCTCGTTTCCCCCGCCCAAACCACGCCAGCGCGCCCGCGGAGCGCGGCTCAGCCCCGCGCCGCCACTCGGCGGGCACGCGGGAGCATCAAAGCTCCAGAGACGGGAAGCACGCCGA